AGAATGAATTCATAGTGAAAGAAATGTATCTAACATGTTTTGATTAAATTTTCATTAGAAATACATGGATTTCTGATGAAGATTTAATCAACACACAAATATTCATTTTCATTCATGTAATGTTTAATATAATGAAAAAGACAGACACTGTCAACATTCCATTTAAATACATGCAAAGTTTCTCTGAATTACAAAGATATACCCATAGGTATTACATACATAGCAAATCCACTAATAATATTCTCACTCATGAAAGGAATGCTGCTTTTGTCGTCAAAAGACAGCTTTGTGAAGCACATCAATTTTTTAATGACTCTTGTACTGTATTTTTTTTGTTTTGTTTTGTTTTAATTCCTAATGGAGAAGAGAAATCTGGTTATTTTCACATTTGTGTTTCAGCTTAAAACCCACTTCTTCACCAACAGGACATGCATTATGCTCATATAATTTACACATGCACCATTTTTCAAGCCAAAATGCCTACTGGATAGAGATAAGCAATTCAACTTCATGCAGCTGACATCTTATTGTCAACTTTTTATCATACTAGGAATTCCTATAGTAAGGATCAAAGCTAAATAGATATCAAACCCATTCCAAATAATGTATTTCAATAGCATTTTGATCTATTATTACTGAACATTTTGATCTATTATTACTGAACATCTGGTCCAGGGGAAAAGAACAATCTCCCTTCCCTGATTAACGCAACTAAATCATTCATCCTTTTAAATCTGTCCTCATTCACTGCAGCAATAAATCTACTGTCATGAAGATATTGTGCTAGTGATTTTCAGTATCTGCACTGAATCTAAAGACTGCTATCTCAAATCCAAAGGACAAGAGAAATTTGACTGTAATACCTCCATGTACAATAATCTCTCCAATCTATAGCATTAATATATCTGAAATGCAAATGATAACTAAACTATGATATAAACAACCTACAGACTGTATCTATAATCATGAAACACCTTTGAGTTCACCCTGAGCAGCAGTCATTAATAAACATCAGCCATTTTGGGAGCCATCAAAAATCAGCTTCAAACCAAATGCAAATATGCAATTCACCTATTTTTTGCAGCATGTGGGTACTTTCTCCATAACCTTTTAACCATCATGGAAAAAAAAAAATGACTTGAGCATAATTTGCAAAAACTTGTGAAATGATATTTAAAGTCACCTTTATGCAGCTCTGCCAAATATCCAAACAGATCCACACTGTAGGCATTCTTACAACAAAAAACCATTACTTTCTCCTCTTCTTCAAATTTATTTCAGTTATGCAGTGAAGCCTGTCTTTCATTTAGATTATCATAAACAAAGAAAAAAGTGGCCAAATGCCTTTTTTCCACAATGCATTGCAAAAGTTTATATTCTAGTTAGGCAGACTACAATACATCACTGGCATGCACATTTAAGTGTTAAACTTGCCATCAAAATCATAGCAAAACTGTTATACGTTACCCTAAAAAATCTATGAAAAATCTAAAAACCAAATAATGGAGTATGTGCAACTTTAGGTTTTGATGAATGTGTTTTAAAAGTTCCTTTTTAAAAAATGCCTTACATAAATATTGCCTAAGTTAATATTGGCACAGGAGTATATTTTTGTGTTAATCTCAGCAGACTTCATCCCTCTACATCTGGTATGACATTGTGCAAAATGAGGAACACAAGATTCTGCACATGAGCATTCACTCCAAAAGTTAATAATCTCCATATACTCATAAAACATTGTAATTATATATTAGGTAGAATTTGAACTTCCTATAATTCAGTATTACTACTCAGTTATCATTCATAGAGAAAAAATTGTAAATCATTTAAACAGCATGTCTTAAAAGTCAAAAGGCTTTGATTATATACAATAATTAAATTACCTACTTTAATTTGTCATAATACCATTATCATTTTTCATTTTTATCTGTCATTATCTGAGTAAAAAAATGCAGAAATCAGGCACATGAAAAATCACTAAATACAACCTGTCAACATCAGTTGAACAACGGTAACTTTAACATTAACTTACAGCCTTGCTTTTATTAGCATTATTGTCATTCTCAGTATCACCATTATTCTAACTGGTTATTCATTTATATTTTCTTCTAACATACAATGGGCTGCTAACCACAGTTACACCATTCCACTCCATTTATTTTGATAGGTTTATTATTTAGCAATGAATTGGGAGAGGAAAATAACATATATGCTGCTTTAATGTCCTTCGGAGGGCAAGCAATCCCAGCGATGGTGGACCTCTGGGGTGAAGTTGACGATGCGCACATGCGTTGCCTGATACTTTTCCCGCTTCGGTGGGATGGGACACAGGCGGTAAGTAACTTCATCGCCTTCAAGTGGAATGTATTCTCCTTCAATGCTTGAGGGGGGAATAAATGAAGAATTAAGACATTATAGAAACCACCAAGTGAATAACAATATATTCATAAAAAAAGGTTATCTATGCATATACAAAAATGATGATAATGAAAGCTGTAGATAATATCAATAATGTCTAGTTCACTAGTACACGCATCATACCTAGAAAACCAAGTTATTCAGAAGCAGATATTAAGTTTGTAGGCAATCTTTAAAAATTCTGCTTAGTAGTAATATAATACTGCTTTAGTAACAAATGTTACCAGTAGATGACACTTATTTGGGATATGAGACTTCAAATTCAGGCAAAAAACATAAATCAACTGAAAGAAAGGGGGAAAATTAAGACAATTATTTTTAAAATTCATAGATATATAACTTATTTCATTAAGTGTTATCATGATTCTCATCCATAAGGGAGTAGCAACAGGTAGTTAAAATTAGTTGGTTCATATCTATCCATTAAAAATTTTGGGTTAGATCATAATAAAAAAAACATCAACCCTTTAAAAAAAATAAAAAATAAAAACATTTTATATATATATATATATATATATACACACACACACACACACACACACACATATACATATATATACATATATGTATATATATGTATATATATACACAAATATGTGTGTGTGTGTGTATGTATATGTATGTATGTATATGTATATGTATATGTATATGTATATGTATATGTATATGTATGTGTATGTATATGTATATGTATATGTATATGTATGTATTATATATATATATATATATATATATATATATATATATATATATATATATATATATATATATATATATATATATATATATATTTTGCGTCAATAGCAACATCTTGAAAGAGCTCAGTTTAGTAAAAGGGAAATGGCTGTCAAAGATAAAAGGCTGATTTACAAACATGCAAGTAACATTGAAAAATAGTTTCCATTTCCAGTCACAAGTTCAGATCAATTGAAAGACTTTATTTCAGTTCAAACAAACCCTTAGCATGCATTAAGACAACACAGTGAAGCACCAATTAACCAATTTGTTGATATGTGCCCTTAGCCTGGTTGCAACCCCAGGCAAGGACACCACCTACTGCAAGTGCCGAAAGACGACCAAAACTTCACTAGAAATCCCTGTCATTGTCTCAGTTAAGCAGTCGCAAGTCAGCCTCTTTATTTTTTACGTTCTGGATTAACAAAAAAGACAGCTAATGACTCGGAGAGTAACACATGTGATGGCAAAACAATCTATCATGAATTATCAAAATTGCTTTTTAAAACCATCTTGTTTCTTCATTAACTGTAATAAGGGTCAAGGGTAATGTTGCAGCTTCAACATAGTTTTCCAAGTACATACAGTGCATACCAAAATAATAGCTAATGGAAATAGACAAATGTAAACAACTAACTTATACACCCTTCTATAAATACATGGTATGCAGCAATTATAGAATCTATAGGGTTTCCTTTCCTTTGTGAATACTCCTCTAATTATTAACCTACTGCAGCTAGGCACCTGACATGCTCAATGTAGTTGCTCTTTGAAATGTATTTACACACAGATGGCTCCACAAATGCTGAGTCACCAAGGAGCTAATTACAAGTATCTGCAGCCTCACCTGATTTCCACTTCCATTGAGTTTTCAAAAAATGATAATAATAATAAAATAAAAAATAGAAGAAAAAAAAAATAATTTAATTATTATCAATGCAGTTATTATTATCATTGGCATTATGACTGATCATTATACTATATTACTAATGGTAATATAAAGTAAAATACGATATTTCCAAAAATCAAGTAAACAGGTGAAATAGGTAAACTATCCCATGTATATACATGCATAAACCCAGCTTTACTGAGTTTACGTACTTCTAGTTAGGAAAAATCAATGTGCCAAGACCCTTTCAAGATGATGATTGATCAGTGAATACTTGGGCACACTATAATGGCAATTACTGTAAAGTTTGTAAATGAATGCGATAACTAAGTAACAATGACTCAATGATTACCTAACAGCAACATTTTTTTTTATTAATGTTCAATTTCAATAATAAAAAAACACATTAAAAAATTCTGAAAATGTCCTTTTACAAGATCTATATGAACTATAATTACAATGAGGCTAAATTTAAATCTTTATATCAACTTCCTCAAAACATACTTTCTTGGGGCAGGTAGGCATACTTTTTTAAAGATCTTTTTGTTATGAAACAAAACAGCTCATTTCAATTTGCATTATAGTCTTAATCACTTTTCTAAGAAAGTATTCCAGAGAGATTGTTTAATGATGAGGGGAAAGATGTTTAATTGCATTTACCGCAAGAAAATAGAAACATCAGAAAAAGTTAATATCTTGAAGATTACTTTGCACAAATTAATTTGTATGATATAAACTGTTCACTAAGGCAATATATATAAAAGTTGTACAAAAATCACCACCATCCATCATAAAGTGATATGTGAATACATCACAAATATTGTGTATGCTCATCTATCACTGTGTATGGAAGTTATAATAGTTCTATTCAATAAGTGATGTTTTTCATGCACACCAGAAAATCATAGGAAGTTCCCTTAATCTTTGCCTCTGTGCACATCCGCCCATCACATCCACA